CGAGGAGGTATTCACTGAAATTTGAAAATTCGAAATTTTTTAAAAAGTATCAGGAGAGCATGAAAATCGAGGAGGTATTCACTGAAATTTGAAAAATTCGAAATTTTCAAAAAAGTATCAGGGGAGCATGAAAATCGAGGAGGTATTCACCGAAATTTGAAAATTCAAAATTTTCAAAAAAATATCAGGGGCGCATGGAAGTCGAGAAATCATTCACTGAAATTGAAAAATTTTAAATTTTCAAAAAAGTATCAGGGGAGCATTAAAATCGAGGAGGTATTCATTGAAATTGAAAAATTGAAAATTTTCAGAAAATAAAAATCACCCAGTCGATTGCCCCTCTGACAGCGGTCCCTCTGACAGCGCGACTGCCACTGAGACAGTTACCGAGTCGGCTGACGGGTCAGCACCCCCCACCATTGGGTGCGGCCCCCTCTTTCTCTTGGGGTGAGGTACTCCCCCAGAACTGAGCCGCCCAGTGGGGGCTTGAGTGACCCCACCGGCATTGCACCCCACCTCACCCCAAGAAAAAGAGGGGGTCGCACGCACGTGGTGGGGTGCCAACCCGTCAGCCGACTCGGTAACTGCCTCAGTAGCAGTCGCGCTGTCAGAGGGACCAATTGAGTGGGTGAAGGTTATTTTCTGCGTTACGAAATTAGTATTCAATGCCTGTGGCGCCCTCCCTCTCTTGGGGTGCAGTACTACGATGCTGCTGGGGTCACTCCAACCCCCAGAACTGAGCCTCTACTTCAATCAATCCTCTTTGGGAAATACGTCGGTCTGATGCAAATTCATTGAATGATAAATTGCCCACTGATAAGTCCTCCGGAAATCTTCTTTGCCTGCCCTCTAATCATGTGAGAGAGAGAATCATCAAGAGGGGCGCCACTTTGTTTGAATACCTATATTACAAACTAGGTAATATTTCTCGCAAATTTATAGTAAAATTATCACTTTCATCTTTATAATATCCAAATGCACGATATTCATGACCTGCATTTGGGAGCTTCGCCTAAATTAACGCACTGGGTCACCTTGACTCATCAGTCAACCCACCGATGCAACTCCTGAAATTAGACTTAAAGTTCAAATTTTTCCGGGCATTCACCGGACTTGAATAATGAAGAAATGAACAATAAATAATTTAATTTGTCATTTGATCGCTTGTCAAAGTGCGGGGGTTCATTCTCGGAGGGACTGAGGGCTGAGATTTTTTATTAAAATTGTTAAGGGTTTTTTTTTAGAGGATTTGAGGTTAGAAAGCTCCTCCACGAATTTTCGACAGTGGACCGGAACTATTGGTGGATAATGCCAGGAATTTTCCTGGTTTTGCAATCGTGAAATGTTCTGCAATATTTCCAAGAGCTTCTCCACGACGAGAATCCGTCAAATCGCCAGAATAGTCGCGTCACAGAGGAAGAGAACATCTCGTACTTTCGATGGATTTTTCGACAAGAGTGGATCTGGGGTATCAGCTATGGGATTATCCCGGTGGAGATGCTACAGCACTGATACCCAGGAAAATCCGACACCCGAGAGCGTCCTGCCACCGTTGACTGACGACGATCTTCACATTGTGCCTGGATTTTTTACAACTATTTCAAGTATTCTTCATCTTCAGGGGCACCTCAGGAGAATTGATCCTGGATTTGACGTACCAGAGTTTATTTCTGCATCCAAACACGTACGGAATTTATTTTATTTACAATTAGTTTGGTGTCGGAAAATTTCTCATCCATAATTTACATCTGGTTTCATTTTTCCTCAGGCAGTTGACGTCGTATCTCATTTTCTGAGTAGAGAAAATTACGAGGCCCTGGAGGGTCTCGTAACTCCCGAAGTCATTCAAAAATTGAGACAAAAGATTTGTACACTAACATCATCACAAAAAGAACTCATTGCCATAAATAAAGATGATATTTATGGATACTTCCCCTACACCATTAGAATGCTGTACGAGGGAGAAGGAGGTAAATAATTATCTTGTTAATTAGCATGGGTCTGATTTCATACTCGTAATTTTTTTGATTTCAGAAAATAAAAAGTCTTTCGCTGAAATATTCGTGGTGTTTTATTCACTGAGGGGTTTAAAGCAATTGAGAGAAAAGAATATTAATCCCCCATTGAAAATGGGCCTCATGCCAGAATATCGGGACAAAATATTCGTCGCGAATTATAAATTCGTCAAAGATTATACTAATGGCATTGACGCGCCCTGGATCATTAATTTGTGTAATCAAGTCATGCTTTTAGCATATGTAAGTCAAGAAATTATTTTCTCACTATTCTCACTTTCTCTTTATTCTTCATATTTATTTTACTGTTCCAGAAATAATCATCTGTGTTGAATACTTAAGCCGACGATGATAATTAATGTTTAAAAACGCTGCAAGACTCTTCTTTATGAAGAACTGTAAAATACATTTTTGTTTGAAAAATTTATTTTTCTACATTTCATTCGTCTGAAGTACAAAATGCGTTTCCATGGATTTTCATAAGCTCTGAAGAATCTTAGGTACGTAATCCATTAGTTTGAGAGCTGATGCTCCCACTCGATTTCCATCTCGTTCGATGAATATTGCGAGAGGTCCCTGAGAAGATCACAAACCACAAATAAATGAAGGTCTCTGTTTAAAAAAATTATCACTAAAAACGTACAACGCGACATTAGACTTACTTTGCTTCTCTGGGGATTGTGAATCCAGAATTCGTTGTTTTTCGATCGGAACAGATTATTAGGCTCTATAGGCACTAAGTTGTAGAGATTCACTGATAACCCATCGACTGCATGAAACGATAGCTTTACAAAATTACAGAAGGGCTTGAGGTATGGAGATATTTGCACCTGGCAGTTGATTCCACTCTGTTGAAACAAAATTTCAATTTTTTTCGAGGGAAACGAGAGTAATTGCTCCAACTCCGAGGGTTCTGACGTATTTTCTAAAATTAAAAGATCAAAATGGAGGAACTAATCGATAATTGAAACATTTGTGGAATTATTTGTTGCTAATTACTCGCATAAATTCCATCGGTCAGTCTGAAAGGTTTAGTGACGGTCAACGCAAACATTGGAATTTGATTTCGTTCTTTGCCCTTGAACCAGGTGTCGATGGCTGGAATGGAATGAGGAAATAATTAAGTAGCGAAATAGTTGACATTGGGAATGATACTGAAGTTATTATTGAATTATTAGAATACTGATAATAAAAATTACATCTGCCGACTTCCTCGAAGACCTTCTGCACAGGGATATCCTTTGCCATGAATTTACTGAGATGAGTGACATACAGTCCATTCTCATTACTTGATCTTTCGTAACTAGGTCGATGGCTGGACGTTGAGTAAGCCTGAATTAAATTCCTCAGGTTCTTCCTGCTCCTGTACTCATTTACTTTCGGTATTTCCCTGTGAATATCTGGATTTAATTCCCTGCAATAAAAAAAACATGGCTAACTGCAATTTTCTCTTTCATCACTGCATATTTGAATATTTCTCCATTTTAATCCACAAATTCACCTTGGAGGAACTGTCTGACATGTATCAAGGATAACAGCAAGAAGTGCAGGATCTTTTGGCATAATTATCGACAATATCTCACTCTCACAAATAGCATCGCTTCTAAGAAATGATTTGGGTGCATCTACTGACAACACGTAGCTCTCTTGCATCTTGAAGCCATGACCAGCGAAATAAAAGAGCCCTGACAACGATAAATTGCAAAATTAATAACGAAAAATGTTATATTAACGCCCGACATTTTTTGTCTTGATTAGTAAAGTTTTGTGAATGTGTTCAAATATTTTCTGTGGAAGTAGAAAAATAATTCTGCAGTGACAAACCTTCGTGATGCATTAAATAATAATGAAACTTAAAAATGGTATATTTTTTCACGTGCATTTGATCTTGAAAAACTTCAAAAATGAAATGTCTGCAATATTTCCACAATGTCCACTATTTTTTTTCATTACCATAAGCTCCTTCGGACAGAGCTGCAGCAAAAATAGCCATAGCATTTTTCATCTGTTGAATATCCAAATTAGCAAAGCAAATAACTTTGAATCCAATCTCTTGCAGCAACTTGGCGAGTTTGGCAACGTCATTCTTGGGGGTCTTGAGCCTCTCGTGGTGGTCGTAATCCTCGTTGGCAATTAATAATGCTATTTTTGCCGTTGCCTTCTCCCTGGGTAACTCCATCTGAGATCCATCAGCATGAACAACCGAAGAGGATTTTTAATTAACTTCAACCTCACCTCAAATTCATTATTACTTACAATAACATTGCATCTCTCCGTGCAGACTTCACTGACTGGATTTTTCATGTAGCAGTAATATTTTCCCTCGTCATTAGCGTTAAAATTTTCTATCTACAAAATAAAATTCAAATCAGAAGGTAAAACTGCATTTGAATGTAGTAGCAAAAAGTTATAATGTGAAATTATCGATTTATCTGAAAAACTATTGATTTCACGACAAAAAATCAAAAGATCTTTTCTGTTGGAAATTTAATCACCTACAAAAAAGTTATTTGATATTATCAATTTAAATCAATAGTTATTGAGATAAAACGATAATCAACGGAAATACAGAATGCCACTGCAAAAATTCTACTGCAAATATTAATTTACAATTGGCAAATGATTGTGTTTTCGTACTTCTAGGACATTAGACGTCTGCATCTCCAATTTGGTGTTATCCCTGAACCACTGGTAAATGGGCTCTGGGTGGCTCTTGACTTTGCAGGATAAAACCAGGGATTTCCCCTTTCTAATTTCAACGAATCGCAGTGGTTGACGCTCGATGACAATTGGAGTTGGATTGACAGTGACGTAAACTGATTCTGATATGAGTTCCTCTAGGATTCTCCCCTCGATGTCAACCTGAGAGACCAAACACTTGTACTCGCCCTCCTGGTCTTCTCTAGTTATTTCTAGGTTCAATTCTTTGGCACCTGCGTTATTCAGGATGGAATCCCCATGGTACCAGGCATAAGAGGGAGGTGGAAGGCCTGTCGCCTCGCAAATTAACTGAATTTTTCTCCCCAGGGACACCTTCACTTGCTGGCAGGGGAAATTTGGGTGTCTCGTTATCACCAATGATTCTGTAATTAATAGTTTGATTCAGAACGGCAATCAATTGAGACCTTGCGTTTCCACCAAAAATTACGGATGAACTGAATTGATTCATTGGAGGATTAATATTCATGTGGACTTTTTCAGGGTACCGAGTTTATTGTAATTTTATGACTTCATCGGTCAATTTCCGGAGCAGAATTGAATATTAATAGTCTTGACGAATGAAATTTCCTCGTTCAAGTAACGAAATTGTAACAATGTCTCGACTCTCGAAAACTCTTGTTGGAATTTTTGAATTTGTCGAATTTTCAAATATTCACGCCAACAAATTAAATTCGATTGCGGTGTACGTTCGAGAGAGGATTTTAATTTAAGGCCCGGATGGACTGTCTGGAAAAGATAATTTACTCCAAAATTGGGACTTCTAATTACTCCGTCAATTAATAGTTTTTTCCGATAATTGTTAGCTAGCGGCCTAGTTGTTGACAACCGCTAGAACGCTAGCTAACAATTATTGAAAAAAACGATTAATTGCCAAAGTAATTAGGAATCCGAATTTCAGAGTAAATGATCTTTTCTAGATGATCCACCCGAGCCTTAATTAGACAGACCAAACATTCGAGGCGACCGGAAAAATCAGTCCCATTTTATCGTAACTTTCCGTAAAGATATAAATATTCAGACATCACAAGGTTTCAGAAATCTGTAGAATTTTGAGGAAAAACTCCGAATCAATACCTGTTTCTCTCAAAATTGATAGTGCCCTGAAAAGACCGCAGTCCTCGAGCAACTCCCCCAGATTTCCCACGGTGCACATTCTAATGCTCAATTGGCACAATAAATTATCAGCTGGGGATACCCTTCCCCTGATAATTCCCCTGCCCTCGAGAGACCTCACCCATCGAGACCTGCGAAATCTCCATATTAATCAGTGATCAATTCCATGAATGATTCTACTAAAACGAAGACCTGATGGAAGGAATACAAAAAGTACTTTTCCTGCATTTAAAAATAAAAATAAAATAACGATAACTAATTCCTAATTTCATTTACCCAAGTTCCAGCTGCTGCGCAACGTATTCTCCCAAATTAATCCAATTATTATCAACATCCAGTTCATCGAGGAGTTCCTGATAAATATTGCTCGGCAGTTCCTCAAGTTCCAGGTCCTCAGGGAACTTGTACATTCCTCACCCTTCGAAATAACTAGATCAAATACACCCAGTAATCCCCGAAATGTCACAAAAATCCTCACAAATTGCACAGATGCGGTTCCACAAGTCTCAACGGACGTGCGACCGTAGAATGACAAATATCGCAGATAATACAAACGAGGAAAAATACCGAAGGCCATTCGTTGAATATCCGATATTCAATATAAACCAACAACTGTCTTCTCCCACCTCCGAATAATTTCAACCGATCGAATTAATTCTCAACCTTTCACCTCAATTATCTTCAACACTTGAGAAAGTTAATTAAAATATCAGTGAAAGACCTCATAACATTCTCCAGTTTGTTTGCAACCTGACACATAATGATATTCAAAAATCGAAGGCCGTGGATGAAAATATATATTTGAAATGGCCGCTGAACTCCCGCGAGAATGCGCGCTAGCACAAAAAAAAAAAAATCAACCGTCAAATACAAATTCTGAACCGTAATTTACGAAGTTCATTTGAATTCCAAAAATTACACAACAAAAATCGTAATTTATTTATTTCTCATTATAATTTAAAAGGTCCAACCGCTTATTTTTTTTTTCATTAAAAAAAACATTTTTTTTTAGTTAAAAATACTAATTAATTAAATTATCATCGTAATTTGTAATATCATAATTGCCGCACACAATCCCGTAACTTTCCCTTCGTAACTCATCAATTACCAAATAAAAAACGGCAATTCCCATTGAGACATTTAGTGCGGCGATCGGTAAAACAGATGATGGCGCCATCAGCTGAGCAGAAATGGGCGGGCTTCCTCAGTCTGTCATCGTCCCGCGCGCAATGCACTGCTCATCTCAGCTCCCTCCTAAATCCACAACCACTCAAAGCTAAAATAACCTCCGCCAGGGTAATCTTAAACCATTCCCCTTGCTTCCCCTAACCCGAGAGACTGGGGATAAAGCTGTGTCAAAGTGCGAGGCAACAAAAAAAAAACATCCGACATTTTCGATTGAAATTCACGATATCACAAAAGAGGGGGGAGACCCTGAGCTGGAACTGGAGATAAATAAAAATTGAAAAAAAAAAAACGGTGCAGTGAAATCGTTTGTGTAGTGATACAATCCCAATGGCTCCACAAAAAACATCAGTTTCTGCGCGATGCGCGTGGCGCTCTGCGCCGCATAATCTTGCGTATCAGTGACCGTCAGTCAATCGTAGAGTCAGTCGTGTTTTCCCTCTAAAAAAAAAGATAATAATAAATAGACGAGTCAATACATTGTGATGGAATTAATGCAATTCAGTGTTACTCAATCTCGATAAAACTGAAAATCATGACAAACAAATGTGTCGTGGAGTTGTGAATTAGTTGATGTTGACGGGTTGTTGCGAGGCCAGTGTTTACCATGAAATTTGGGTTGACATGGTTATTCATGGGTGGTAGGATTTGTCAGTGAAAATGTCAGAGTGTAAACATTTTGGGTTGTTTTATCCCACGATGATGACATACTGAGGGTATCAGTGTTGTGATCAGCCAATTGTCCTTTGTTTTACTGCTCTCAGTACAGCTCTCGGTGTCTATCGCTGGTGGATTCGTCGTGGAATAATATTTTGGTAGTTGTGTGCGAAAAATAAAGAGGTGGAAGGTGGCGTGAAAATAAAAAAACAACTCGTGTGCAGTGGGGAGGTGATATCTGTCTCACCAAGCAGTGGTGGTTTTTTTTTTTGGTGCGACTTTTTGGAGTTGAATAATTGATCAACGCTCGGTGAATAGTCCGAGTTGCTGTGACGACTGAGGTGAATATTCAGTGGTGATTTGTGGTGTTGGGGGGAGGAGGAAATTATTTGGTTTATTGGGTGAATTTTTAGTTTATTTTAATTTTTATTCTTTTGGGAAAATATTTAGTGGTATCTTGTGAAGTGGCCATCATGGCGAACCCACGGAAATTCAGTGAAAAGATCGCCCTTCTCAACCAGAAACAGGCAGAGGAGACAGCTGCTTTTGAAGCTATTATGCGTGAGGTTTCGGATGTCACCAGTCGGGTAAGAATTCCACATGAATTTATGAATTAACCTACTTTTCGGTGTTGCACATGGTCAAGTGAACTGCTTTTGTGGGATAGTTTTGCTCTTACATAGGACTCCCTCAATTTTATTATTTTAATCCCCCTGCACATGTTTTCTGGGCCCTTTTTTTTCGTTAGTATACTGAAGAATTTTGCTGGTGCACGAGGACTAGATCCTCTGCCGACGGCAGAGGAAACGTAAACATTCGTGAAAGCCCGGACGTGTGCACTTCCTTGTGTATATTTTAAGAGTCACACGGAGTTAACGTGCATGAGAGTTAATCCAAATGTGTGAGGAATTTTTTCCCCTCATCTCCGTGTTTCTTTTTTTTTTGTTAATAAGCAGCTGCGTACAGATGGTTTATTGTTTTTTCCACTTTTTGTCATTGCTTGGGAGTGGGAATAATTGCGATTATGGGCGGGAAATTGTCGAGTCTGGAGAGCATCGGATGAGAGCAACTCCAGGGGCAATTTTAATTTTTTTTCTTTTGGAAAGGGGAATATGTTTTCATTTTCTGAGACAATCGTGGGATGGATTTTAACCGGATACTGGAGACATTCACGAATTTTACTGCCAATGGCCTCCGCTGCAGACGATTTGGTTTTTCACGTCTTTTTCAGAATCGTGAACACATTTTTGTATTTATAGATTGAGAGGGTTACGAGGAAAAGAGTTTATAGTTTACCGTCGATTTTTATGATTTATTGAGCGAATTTACTGATTACAGTAATTAGACTTGCATTTACAAAAGTGACTCGTCAATTTTTAATTACCATATACGCTCCAAGAACTCCAGGAATTCTTCAAAATTCAATCCGCAATTTTGGGAATTTTTTTCTTGTTTATTGTATCATTATTCCTTTCGACCGTTAATTTTTTAACTCGAGGAAATGAATTCAGCAAGAGGAGCGTTATATTTTATTCCAGTTTCGGTTTTAATTGAACGTCGTTGAGAGGTTCATCCCATTTTGTAATTTGATTGATTTTTTTTATTTCTATTCCATCAATCCTTCACTCCAGCGAATTGAATTTAATTTATCAATATTGGTTCGAGTGTTTGTATCGCGAAAACCCGGGATTTAATCAATTTTTCTGGGTCAAATAGTCGATTCTAATTTTTACTGATACAGAAATTTCTTCCACGTGCTCAGTTTGATATTAGTTGTCGAATTTTATCTGAAGGCTGCAGCTGTGAAAGCTGCGGTTTCATTGAAACCCGATTAAATTCTCAACTCTACTTCAATAAAAAAAAATCCATTCAAATTTGTATTTCAGTTGTTGTGTCCCATTTCGTTTTGCGAATTACTCCTTTGCGTCAATTAATTTATCAATATTTGATTTGAGTATTTATTTCTCTTTTAATTGGGGCTGACTCATGTACGGGTTAAATCCCCTGTTTGTTTTTAATTTTTACTGATGTAAAAACCTCAAGACCTCTCACCGATTATCAGTCAACAAATCCTTTGAATCTCTACAACCCATTCCAACATTTTTCAAATAATATTCCCGTTTTAAAAATTCTCCTCCAATGAGAAACTCATTCAATTATTTGTTCCAGCCAATTTTATTTCTCAATTTATGAATGATTCTCTTACGTCAATCGTACTGAATTTATCAATATTTGCTTTGAGGATTTATTTAAAAACTCGTGCTTCCATAATCTGCAACGATTGAAGTCGTCTGTTCTACCAAATTTTTATTAAATAAAAACTGGCTTCAAGTTTTCATAATTACATGATCCATAAGTCCGCACATGCAGTTCTTCCGAAATATCTCTGAAACTGAAGGAGATAGCGATATCTAGCAAGACACCCTTTTTTGTAGCTCTCAATACGCGCAACAAAAGAAATCTCAACAAAAATTCGATTACCTCTCTTAATTTCAAAGATATTCCCAAAAAACTTACCGGCAAACAGATTCGACTCGATATCGAATTTTCGTCTATTATTTGTTTCATTCATCCATGAATGATTCTCTTACGTCAATCAATTTAATATCAATATTTGATGTATTTCGTTGAAAACAACACGTGTTTCGCTGTCAAATTTCGAGCTGCTCTGAATGTCTACAGAAATATTGAAAATGTTCTCGTTGATGAATGCGCAGAATAATGCTAAATTGCATTGCTCGATACTCGGCTAATTACAATCACGAGTATTCAAGTTTTTTTTTCTTTGATTACACAAGTGTGAGAAAACATTCTCAGATATGAGTAGCTGTATTTGTGCCCTGTTATCAGTAACTCTTGAAGGGAATCCGAACGAACGTGAGAGAATCCGAATTTTTTATTTCCTCTTTCCACGTTTTCATGTAGCCATTGAACCCATATCATTTATCATTTTATTTCTCTCAGTTTGTTTATAAATAATAACGAGGGCTGAATGACGATCGTCCAGAGGGATACGAAACAGAAAATAGTAAATCGCGATGGTTGCTTCATTATCATATTCATTAGGGTCGCATTTGAATTTCTGAATTTATTCAGTTACTCGGAATTCGTCTCTCACGAAGAAATTCAAACCGTATATTTTCTTTTTTCTTAGTTGTGGAAAAAAATTACGAGAATGAAGAATAAAATAATCGAAATAATCATTTTTTTTTTCTATTTCGATTTCAGTTTATTTTATTTCAATTTAATTTCTTTATTGAATTAATGATTAATCGATAAATGAAGGGGATTAACTCACCTTCTAGATACTTTCTGATTAATATCTCCGAATCGAAGGGAGATATCGATATTTTCGTTGGAATATTTTTTGTCGAGCGAAATGAGAGCTGCAAAAAAGGTCAAGCGAAGATTTCCCTATCTCTTTTGGATTTCGAGATATCGAGAAAACCCTGAAGTCTGAGTGAAAATGACTCTTGGTCTATCGATTTACTACTGCATCCGTGATTGTAATATCAATCAATGGAATGATTGGAGTAGGAAAAATTCCGGAATGTGGAACAGGTTTTCCATGAAATTGAATGAGCAGTCGATTCTGAGGTTCTTGTTAATTAAAAGATCTCGGGATTGTTTTCATTATTTTTCTTTTCTCAACTTACAATAAGAAACCAGTCGTGGAATTTATAATCAGCACGTAGGCATATTACGGTAAATAAGTATTTACAAAGTGACGACAACAGGTTTCCCAATCATTCCCTTCCATTGGCCGTTTCGTTCGATTAATATTCAAATTGATACTAACGTTTTCTCTTATTTCCTGTTTACAAGGTTTTCTAAAATATTATATAATTTCTAAATGAATTCTGATTGCCTCGTTAGACTTATAACTCCTGATCATATAATTTTGTTTTATTCTCTCACAAATTATAATTTCGTATACCGGTGAAAGGCCAGGGAACACCTGACAGTGGGATTTTTTTTATTCGGCAACCGTTACCTTGACTGTTATTGCTGATGTAACGATCGTCTCCTCGAAATCGAAATCTAAACAAAACTCATCGCATTCAAGTTTCCTTTTCCTGCGTTTCGGTACAACAATAAAATGTTATCGTCTCATTCGAACGACTTTATTGTGGTATCGGGTCCACGTATGGATAACTACGAGTGTAAAATTGCGCAAATACACTAAAAGTTTACCGAATTACTCTGGTTGCACGTGTGGCTCGATGAGTGTCTCGGAACTTTCAGAAATAGGAAGATAAAACTCCAAAATGAATAAACCAGAGAATGCCTTCATTGCAATTGTTATTCCTCGATTGAAGTTTATCAACTCAATCTCTGTTGAAGTACTAGCTCCAGGTTCGTGTACTGAGACGCGTACACTCAGAGAAAAATTTACTGAAAAGCAATGAATCTATTTGTTAACCACCAAAAATGGTTGATTTTATTAAATTAAATTAGTGAAAACGATGAAAAATATTTTTGAAGTAAATAACTGTTTGATTGATTCAATCTTTTGATAGATTCGCGCCAATTTTGCATTGAAAACAAATAAATCTATTCTTAATGACATATTTATGTAAAATCAAAACAGAAAAATGAATTATTTATTATATTAATTTTTGTGACTATTGAGAAGGTAGAAAAGATTTTTCAGATCTCAATATACAAAAAATAATAGTTAGTTGAGGTTATCAAATAGGTTTCTAAATTGAATATACCCTCAGGCACATATTTTAATGAATATTAATTACTAATTTGGATTATCACAAACAGGTGAATTTATAATTGAACTCCAAAATTTCAGTTAGTTTTCTAAACAAGTTTATTCAATCCAATCTTTAGCACTGGTAGTCACATGGGTTGCGACTATTCATTAATTTCGTTTGTTAGTTTGAGACATATTTTATTTTTAATTCACTCAATTTTTTTCTCAGTGTAAATTGTTGGGTCCAGGCGCGAAAATATAAAATCGCATTAAAAAATTTGGGAGAAGACAGTTGATTTTTTTTAGATTTTTATCAATGTTCTAACTTTTTAAACGCCAATATCAATTTCCGTTAATATATTAAAGGGTCTAACCTTGAAAGACCATTCATTTTGGTACTATTTCAATTCTGACTACTTATTTTCCAAAATTTATATCTGACGAACACGTTCCAGCGAGCGTCTTTCTTTTGAACGATAAGGAACGGCCTCGTGCTGACAAAATAGATAACGAAAGCACCGAAATGCCGGGGAGTTGTATCAGAGGAAAAGTTCATTGTTGCGAAACATGAATTGGAGTCGAAAAGATTTAAAAAATTGAAGTTCCGAAATTGTTTCTGCTCACAAAGGCACGGTGTGGAATGAAGAAACTTGAATGCGAGAACTTTGTCCATTCGGAAAGGTAGACTTTCTCCCAGGAGGGATCCACTGAAATTTCCACGTTTCAACTGCGTCAGCATCACTGATCATTAGATTTGGAAAGGGATTGAGACATGAAGAGACGTCACAAAAGCAAGTCTCTGTGATGATCTCTCGCCAGTTTACGAATTATTCATTTCTCAAAGCCAGACCTTTTAATGATCAAAGCTGAATCAATTATTAAAAAAATTCTTGAACAAATATAATTTCAAAATTTGAAACCTATAGCACATAGTTATCTAGTCCCATTTGATTGCCGTAGATGTACCTTGAAATATGAAAATTGGATGTCAATCTCTGTTTTGTACTGATTGAGCCCGAAATTTATCAGTTATTATCAATCACAAATTCTGTCATCCTTTGAAGTGCATGCATCTACACTTTGCTGTTAATTTATAAATGGTTAATTTGGGAAAAGGAAAAACGTGGTGTTGCTGGAATTGCTTAGGTGGCGTCAGCAAGCAGTTCAGTTGGTACGAGTCCTACTGGAACTGGTGGTGTCCCAGAGACTCTCTCTGTGAAGAGTGCTGGTGCTAGTCCACCCCAGTCCAGTGGCAGTAAACATCTTCACATTAACCTGGGAAATCAGTACACGGGTGGAGGATCTCTGCCAAATGTTAACAACACTGTTACAAAGAGAGCACCTACGAAAGATCCTTCTCCAAATTCTGCTGCTATTCACTCTATCGATCTTAAGGTACCGAGTCATAACTAGACATGTACAGAGAATAATTACCATTCAATTATCACTAGACACTTAATAATCCTCTAAATCATCTCAAAACCAATAAAATTCTTGATTTTTCCATTCAATTATTGCGTAAAAATATATATAATATATATATATGTATATAATATGAATTGGAGCAATTGAAAATACGAAAAAACTGAAACAATTGCTCATCCCAATGGTAATCTTTTCTCTGTGATACATATTTTTGTACAACAAAGCAAAAATGCCATTGAGAAGACGCGACAATGACATCCTGATGATAAATCCATCAAAATCTATGGGATAATCGTAAAATTAATAGCATCTACTCAATGAGCGGAACTATCTGATGCTTATTAGATCTCCATTCACTTAAAATTCTCCCAGCTCATTAATCCAGTAGTCGACACCAGCATGGATAGCTTGGTGAACGCATCCTAGTGATTGTCAATCAGATTACCATCTAATCTTAACCATAAACTCAATTATATCAACCATAGCAGTGAATAATTCAATACGAGTGTATTCATTAATTTTCGGGAAACCCCGGTGGGCTCTTAACAAACCTACTACCACCCATTTCACCAGCCTCGCTACATATTTAACGCTTAATAAACCACGGAACCCCTACCCAGCACGAGATTCCCTGAATTTGCATTATTTAATATGCTTGCCGAAGAACGAATGCCTCTTCGGGTAAATGAAATTCAAAGCCCGTGCAGTATTAATTCTAATGTACCCTTAATGTCTTGTAACTTGAAATGTGCCCAAACGTGAAACTCGTGGTTCACGCTAGAACTCGCTAACTTCAACTTACGACGTATTTCAAGTATTAAAGTTAATTACAACAAAGTTGCTATTCTCCATCTTTCCTAAACGAGAATGAAGTTGGGTGTGTTGCCACTGTTTTATCACCAGTGGCTCTCTGTCCTAGGCTATAAAAGCAAAATATTTCGCTGAGCAATTTGAGTTTTCATTTGGAGTGCTACATTTTTTAGAAAGCCGGGCACGTTGGAGAGTTTCAAAGTTATTTGAAGTAGAAGAATATGAGAATGGTTCTAGCTTTGTGAAAACTTCAGGCAATCAATCCTTGTGAGAGCGCTCGGATGTTGCTGTGACATTCATAACAGATTCTTGTGTTCACAATGATCTCAACTCTATTTTTGTTATTAAACTAGTCTTCAATGCCTTCGCTGTCATTGTTTGGCATTTGGCTTCTCTAGGATGAAAGGAGTTCATCGTCAGGTTGACTACGTCTGCATAAATTTTTATTTCATTGGAATACTATCGATTGTTTCATCATTGATTAAGTACTTTGTGCCTTGGAACGGTCGCCTTAATGATTGTTTCTAATAAATTGTCGTTGCCTGTCACACGTATCGCGCATTCATGCATCGAAGGACACACACACACATTGCAATCTCCAATCATATCATCTGAGTTTCTAGAAACCAGCGATCGTTGACCGTCGAAAATTACTGATTGATGTCTTCTCATTCTTCTCTCACCCTCCGGTTGAGTTATCCCCGGAATTTAACGTGTCCATCTCCAATTAATTGACTACACTCATCTGCTAACTCGCCCAGCGCTGTTTCTACTTCCGATCCACTTCAAATCATGAACCACAGCTGAAAAGAGTTTGAAGGGATTAGATATCGTTATAGAATCTTGAAAAAATCGATTTTTTCCTTACATCTGGTCGTTTTGATTGCACACACTTGGCGATGTTGAAGACCTTGTCACACGGATCAGCTCCAGCTGTGAATTAAAGGAGAAATCAGTGGATTCATCAGGAATGCTGGTACAAGATAATTAGAGATCGTGTTTTACGCTCTTTTCCACAAGTTTCTAAAAGATCTCGTGCTGCGTCCTGCATGTGATCTGGGAGGAATCCAACCAGCATGTCCACCTCAAGTTCACCCTCGTCGATCTGAAATGATCGCAAGGTTTATCCACTTTGTCGTGAAGATGAAAACCAGATACGTACAACACCGAAAGCTGAGAAGAGGCAGTCCATGTAGCAAGTCAAAGCTCGATCGTTTGGGAGAGCGCCGTTATTCACTTGATCGATCAAAGCTGTAAAAAGTAATGATCTGCTGTCAATCACAAATACTCTCTTCATAATCAGATCTCAATGGCTTGAAGCACTGGATGACCTGATCTCCTGATTACAATTGACATCAAACGATTTGGAAAAGCAGAAAGCCATTATGTGATGTGCATTGAAGTTGATTAAAGGATGGTACCTTCGGTGGTTCCATGTGCACCCATGCACCTTGCCTTATCATCAGCAACCATAGCCATCATGTCATCAGTAATGAAATCTGGTCTCTGTGGAAAGGATTTCCAATGAGATGACTCAACAGTTCGATAACTCAGCCATGAATTAAACAATAAATTTTTACCCCAGCAGACACCAGAAGCGCTTGCATGGCCATTCCAAGAAAAATCCAGCAGACCACATGTCTCGCCATTATACCTAGCTCTTGTTTTACAGTTATACTTGGATATTCACAGAATCAATAATATCGCTGAAGAATCGAACACCCTGATGCGTTCTTCCTCGACCGATGTTTCGCGCACGAATCTGAAATATTAGTGGCTGCAAGTGGAGATTATAAAGACACAAGTCACGGGATGTGGGCGGCTAGATGACAGACTAATACGTAAAATTGGATTATTTTCATTGTTTCGTTTGTACCTGAATCATGTCAGTGTATTTTCCATTGTCATCAGCTCCAACCGTTGATATTCAGATGCCTACGTACATCGTGAAACCATTAATTTCAGAAAGTTATGTGAATGAGTGGTGAGGCATGAGCTGGACGATTGTGCATTGGTTTACAAATGAAATTCTTACTTGGTATTCGTCTTTCATTGGATGGTCTTACTACCTGACCTTCGGTGCATCCTGCGGATGCTCTTCCGTTTCATTATATTCATTTTTTATTTTCGCTTCTCTTTCCGCGAGATTATCTTGATTATTATCATTTATTGGTTTGTTTATGGTGCTTCGGGGTTTTCATGGGGTTCATGCCAACTATTATTGGATAATTGAAAGGAATGAATTTCTTCCCTTTTTTTTTCCAGTGAAATACGTCCGGCAGTGATTCCCTTCGTTAACTTGACAGTCTAGAGTTACCTGATCAAACCGTCAATTTGTCATTGATAGCCACATGAGCCTTCATACGTATTGCATTACGACCTGAATAGGCCCCCCGGCTATTTACCTCTAGCCAAGTTTCCATCAGTTCGATTCTCGGTTTATCCGCTCATTCGATTGGAGCGCAACCCTTTGTTTTCTAAAATAGATTCATCTGTCGAGGGGCACTACATTCCGCATTTCAAACCCTTTGGATCGATTCGATAAAATCCCTGCGGGAGACATCCCTTCAATTTCTGTGGACAGAACTCCTGAAAACAGGACATTGTTTCGTTCTCAATTCAATCCCTCAATTCATTGGACGGTTGGGGTATCTGGGGTGACATAATCAATCGGATAATTTTGAAGTGCATGTTTTTTTTTTATCTGAGTTACCAGTGGAATTCGTTTGATTATCCAAAACTGGTGCTCTGGATTTTGTTGTACTAGCGAAATTATTGATGTCACATTCAATCGCATGTCAATTTCAATCAAGAATAAATCTGGGTTTGTCAGTTTCATCGGAGAAACTGGAATTCACTCGAAATGTGAAATACAACGGTGTAATCAGGTTTGTCCGATGATTTTGAGAAAATTGGAGATGATTCTCCTGTCTATTTTTAACGCTGAAGGAGCCGGTCGCCAGCGACTAGTCGAACCAATCGATCGCTTCATTTCTCGTTCTACTGTCGAGAATATTGCAATTAAATTTTTCGAATTATTTTCTTTATTGCTGTGGTTGACTTTGAAATTGGTAAAAATTACCCTTAAATCATCATAATTCACTGGAAATCGACACGGAGTCATTTTTTTTCTTTGCTAGAATTCCATTATTTTCACGGAACTTTTCCCAACAATTCTAATTTTCCCCATTTCAACTCGAGATGTTCCCGACACATGCATACCCAAAATTAACATTTAAAATTTTTTTTTCTGCGAATTATCGATGGAATTAACATGAAAAAACTTTCAATTCTTACATAACAATAGTAAATGTAATTTAAAAAAATGTAAATGCAAAAATTCAATACTTTGGAGATATTTATTTTTATTTTGAAAAAAGGTAATTTTCCTATTTTGAGGTGTACCATGACAATTTTGTGATGACAATGAATTTTTTAATGAGAAAAATTGAGAAAGTGCACTTTTTTTCAATTTTTTTTTAATATACTATTGTTCGTGTACATGCCCTTATCGTATGTACAAGCCAGAGTTCAAGATCATTGGATGACCGTGTGCTACCGGTCATACAGTGTCTCTGGCGTCTGGGTTCGCGCTTCTCTCAGTTTATTATGCAATCGGGTCACATTTGCAAGTGAAGATAGACGATGAGACGAATGCCCTCAGTACTATACTGGTACACCACAAGATTGCATTACACTTCTGCTACCAAGAATTGAAGTATTATCTAAGCCTCTAAGTGGGATTCCGTTAACAAATCGTGGAGAGTCCATCAAAATTAATCACTGATCCCCTGCAGCTGTTCGATGATATTTCAATTACATCCACGTCTTTCTCCATCATCAAAATCTCACTGCTATGAGGAATCCCTGAAAAAACATCCCCGGAAAAAATATCCCCGGAAAAAATATCCCCGGAAAAAGTATCCCCGGAAAAAATATCCCGGAAAAAATATCTCCGGAAAAATTATCGCCAAGAAAAATTCTAATATTTAATTCTTAATAATAAATATTTAAAAATCCTAATTTTAATAATTTACAAAATGCATTTTAGAAAAAAATTTCTTTATTTATTATGACATATAAAAGGGTTAAGGGTTCGATTCCCCATGAAATTAAAATCATCTTTTCTTTTCTCAAATTTTCATTTAATGTGTTATGTGGGGGGGGGGGGCACCTTTGGAAAAATATGTACATAAAAAAAAGGGTGACAGAAATGAAATATATGATTGGGGGGATATTTTTTCCGGGGATATTTTTTCCGAGAATTTTTTTTCCGGGATATTTTTTCCGGGGATATTTTTTCCGGGGATATTTTTTCCGAGAATTTTTTTTCCGGGATATTTTTTCCGGGGATATTTTTTCCGCCACCCGCTATGAGTAATTACATTTACTTCACTTATCCGTATTTTCAATCTCGCTTTAACGAATCGTTTAAAATATTCTCAAATGCTGAGAGAAAAAATTGTTCAATCACGAAAATGGGGAGTGAGACCCAGTGAAAACACTGGAAATTCAATTTCTCCAGATATTTATCCTGAAAGCGTGGGAGAATCCGTTGCCGAGATTTCGGGCTCCGTCAGCAGTTGAGTAAAACACACCTCGGTCGAATGAACTCAGCGAAATTAACTTGCAGCACGTGTTACCCCCGCACTTGCATATTTCAAATGCGAAGGGGGTATTGATTTCATCAATTCCGCGATAACTCTTACGTACTTTTTTAAAATTATCTGTCCGAAGATATATCTGGATGATATCTAAATAATCCCTGGATATATAATCTCTCTAAAAATTCTGTATCCGAGATATATTTGAGATATTTAAGAGAAAAAAATTGGATATAATATCACTCACTCGTCGTGTAAACAGCGGCAGTAGGGGAAGGGGGGGGGGGAGGGAGGGGTTAAGGAATTTCAGGGACAACAGAATTTATTACCTCTGAACTATTTTTCGATTTGATATTGTTCTCCTTGTTCTTTCTTTCTCTTTTCTCTCTTCGATTTTTTGAGTAATGAGGGGAGACGAAGGGATTTTTCATCGGCGAAATTATTATTGCATTTATATAATAATTATTGCATATATGTATAAATAATAATAATTTCGCAGATATGCGGATATATCTAGCGCTTATTTAATGAAAATATTACCGACGGTAGTGGCCGTGCGGTTAGAGTGCTAGACTAGCATGCCAGAGATCCGGGTTCGATCCCGGGCACCGGCGGTCAAAAATTTATAGCGCTCTGATCTCACGGTTCCACTGCCGAGCGGTAGTCCTGTCAAAAGGACGACTGTACCTGGGCAGGTTTTTTCCCTCAGATGAGGTTTTTCCCTCC